ACAGATCATGTCACATAACAGTCCTAGCAAACACAGGGCTAAACATGAGACAAAAAAGCTTGATATATACATCAAAGTATCAGGCTGGGTAGTTGGCAAATCTTGAGACTACAGCGTTTTTGGATAATTCAGTGGGTATCAGCCAATGGCAGGAGCCGCATCACCAAAATCAAACACCTATTGGAGACTAGAAGGAACCAGAAGAGTGTCACGGAGTGGCGTTGCTGTCAACTTGCAAGACAACTCACCCAAGGCGTCACGTCAAGAGCAATTCCTAGGAAATTCCTAGTAGCGATGGCCTCCAACCTGAGAGCGATGGCAGCCATCTTGCGACAAAGGCACCCAGCTTGTCGCATGTTCTCGCTAGTGACTCAGAGTTCTCGCACGTTTGACATGTCTGTTGGTACTCACGCGCAAGCAGAAGCATTCCGGACTCTTGTGATTAAGTCAAACAACCAAACGCCTCCTAAATGATCTGTCTCGAGCACTACAATATCCGAAGTTGTGTGACATTACATATGGCTAGCTATACAATTAAGCAAACGGTGGTCTCGGGGACAAACGAAAGGGATATATACTGCAAAAGTGTCTCAAAGCGTGGTGTCCTTGCACCTCCCACGAACACCGTCCAAAAACAGCACCCAGCATGTCCAAGCTTCTTGCTCTTTCGATCGCCCATGCAAATCCCCATGCCTCTGCAATTCGCAGACTCATAGGTCTTTGGGATATCTTAGTCCCTGAATTAACATGGCTTGCCGGCTGCAGCTTCGAACATGTTTGAAGGCTGGGTATATATATATATGTATATCTTTCCCTCTCCTGATCGGCCTCCCATTTGCGCTTCCCGCTCTGGTGGCAGGGCATGAGAGGCCCACGACAGCAAGTTCCAGCCTTGCTAAACTTTTGAATTAACGTTGTTTTGCTGTGCCACGCTGCCATGAGAAAACTCTCCGGCGGCACTTGGACTTTGCCTTGGCATGCCTTGGCCTCGTAATTGTAAAGGATGCGGGGAGGGCACAATGATTTCCCGCAGTTTCTGCACAGGCCGTCAAAGGAACATATCGAGTCAGTTGCTGGGATCAAATTTATATAAAGTAATAAGTGGTTCTTCTTACAAAATGCCCTCAGCAAATCTAGAGTTTCACAGTTCAGAAAATGGTATGGCATACTTCAGCGTCTTCCGATCGGGCAGAACTTCAGAATTTCCTGTAGCGTGTGGCCAGGACACGGAGGCGCCACGGTGCCACATGTTAACATAACCGAGGTATCCAACGCCACTTCTCACGACCGAATGCGAACACCAATATGGCAGCTCGAGGGGCTTCCACTGGCCACAACTGACAATATCTTTCACTGATCATCTCAAGATATTAATTTCACATATATAATCTATACATATATAATGTCCAACCCTAAATAGTATAATGGAAGGACATCTGAAAAGGTGTTCGATTGTTTGCTAGGGGCCTCTTGCTACTAATTAAGATCGAACATTATATATAATTATACACATGTGTACACAGTAAGTCTATCATAGTTCTAAGCTGCCATGTCTATCCGACAAAATTCCCGTTCATTTGCAATCTGACCAAGCTCTGCGCATCCAACCCACAACAAAGCGTTCTCTAACTCCGAAGCGAAAAGTGGCAGGCTCAGGCTCCGCTGGGAGCTAAACACTAAAAACATCTAAAAAACCATCAATTGTCCGGTACCAGTAGTTTCGGGCCTGGCGTGGCGGGAGTTCGGGATGTGGCACCCGTATCCTCAGGGCAATTGCGGCACTGTAGCCTAAACAATTCCTTAAAGCTGGGTTTTCAGGTAGTATTCCTTGCGGGTAATTTAAAGGATTGGTCCAAGTATCATTGAATCATATAAGGTCATTTAAGTATATTATATATATAATACCCTATGACATACATACACTCACAGGCTGTGGCTCAATAATTGCGTTCACAGCACCGCCCATGGTAAAGGAAACACATATCAACATATCTCACGACCTGCAGTTCCTGCGTCTCAGTTTTTGCCCCAGCATTGCATCTTTGCGCTGCATTGCCTGGTATGAGATGACTCCAATCACAGGGACTTTGACTAGGGCGGCAACCGGCCAAGTCTAGCAGATGCTGGTCGCTCCGCCTCGAGATAGACCGAAATCTGTCAATTGATTCATGTCAACGATTGAAACGCGACAAGGCACCTCTCGCACTTTAAATTGACATGTTTTCTTGATGTGCGTACCATTGGAGATTGAGCAACGTAAAAATGAAGCTCAGTCATCAGTGTAAAAATGCCAGTTGACAGCGAAGCCAATGAAAGAAAAGGTAAACGCTATGTAACCAGTAGAAACGATTTGGTCCAGTATTCGGGCATTTGCCTTGCCCTCATCATTTCTTTCCCAAAATGAACTTATAAAACATACAAGTATCATATCTCATATTGTGGATTGCTTGCCAACCATAAACATTGCAAACCGCTCATATGTCAAAATCAACATGTGTGTAGTAAATCTCTAAGCTTAAAGGGCTTAACTTATACATAACAAGTCCTGCAGGTTTGACCATCAGTGTGTATGAGGATGCAGTCGTTTCAAATGCTGAGCGTCAGGCATCGCTTTGACGAAAGCGTGGCCCCTGACGCTTCACCAAATAAACATGCACGCATACATTACATAGATACATATTATATAAATATGTATATTGAATCTACAAGCTGGCACCGGCAGCAACCAAATCATGAAGGACATGGAAACCCTCCCAGTTCTCGTCGAGAACATGATGCTGACGGGGGAGTCTGTGGAGGCAAGAAGAATGTTGATGGAGCCCCAGAAGTTGTCCAAAGGGTGGAAAAAACTGATTCTGACACATCTCCGTCCTCATGGATCAATGCTTGGGGCAGCTTGCACTGAGAACAGCTAAGCTCAAAATGGGATATGAATTGATAGACCAGGTAGCCTCCCTGGAATCTCCTTTGTGTTCCAACACAAGTTCCGAGAACTACACGAAGTAATAAAAATAGTAAAATGCAAGTAAACATATGTCTGAAAATGTGACATCATGCTACAACTTGCAAAAAATGTACGGTATCGCTGTTTACATAAACGGCTTTTAAAACAAGTGAACGGGTATTTTAGACTTCCTCCGGCAAGGTTTTTGCCAGCCCGCCTGTTTTTAAACACACACGGAGTGAATATACGAGTAGAATATATTACAGTAATTATACTGTTAGCTTACAGTATACATATGTGCAGCGGCACGTATTTGGTACTGAGCTCAAATACACTATCCATCATGTGGGGTGTTGGTGGTGCTCTTGGTGGTCTTGGGGGTCCCGGTGGCCTTGGTGGTCCGGTCTTGGTGGCCTCCGTGGTCTAAGTGGTCTTGGGGGTCCCGGTGGCCTTGGTGGTCCGGTCTTGGTGGTCTCTGTGGTCTAAGTGGTCTCCGTGGTCTTGGTGGTGATTGTGGCGGTCTAGGCGGTGTTGGTGGTGCTCATGGTGGTCTTGGAGGTCCCGGTGGCCTTGGTGGTCTTGGTGGTCCGGTCTTGGTGGTCTCCGTGGTCTAGGTGGTCTTGGTGGTCCCGGTGGTGGTTGTGGCGGTCTAGGCGGTGTTGGTGGTGCTCTTGGTGGTCTTGGGGGTCCCAGTGGCCTTGGTGGTCTGGGTGGTCCGGTCTTGGTGGTCTCGGAGGTCTTGGTGGTCTCGGTGGTCCCGGTGGCCTCGGTGGTCTTGGTGGTCTAGGTGGTCTTGGTGGTCCCGGTGGTCTTGGGTCCGGCGGTCTAGGCGGTCTTGGTGGTCTAGGTGGTCCAAGTGGTCTTGGTGGTCCAGGCGGCCTTGGTGGTTTTGATTTGGTGGTGTGGCACCTCCCCATACAGCCTGCCGCATTGAAAGTAACAGTAAGAGTCCTTGATGAGTTCTACTTCCTGTGAGAGGGTTTGAAAAGCTAGATCGACCTAGTTGCTGAGCAGAAAGCAAAGTGATTTCTCTACAAAAATCGGGTTCTGTAGGTGCCAAAAACTGCCTCGTTACAACATGGCCCCTCTGTAAGGGCCTCAAGCTCTCCCTTTTTGTAGAGGAAATGTCAACAGGGATCCGTCTACATTTTAACTATACGGGGCCCTTCGGGACACTTTAAATACACGGTGGGAACAGGTACTTTAGACTACCTCCGGGGCCGATTGCTCTGGCCACGCCACCATATACTTAAAAGGCGTTAGTTGCCGTAACTACTCCATTAAACCCTTCGCTCTGCATACTTGCTGTACATTTTCTGACCCCAAAACCTCCTGACTTCCGCATCGCCACATCTTCACTGGTGCCCCGACCGCATCGCGGGGAGCATAGCCGAAGGTTGCTGTGGGCGCTCGACGTTGCCCAGCATCGCAACTGCGGCGGTTGCACTGGAGGGACTAGCTAGCTTATCGAAGCCGCTTGAGGGATCTTTACACATCTAGGGGCAAAGCCTTCAATTCGATGTGAGGAGAAGTCCCTGTCAGTTGTCTACAAGAGTTTCATAGGCTTCATAGTGGGAAGAGCGAAGGAAACCTCAGAAAGGTAGCAGCATCGACTGTCCCATTTCTGAAGCTGCTCGGACAAAAAGCGTATCAGTGGTGAGTGGCCGGGCTTAACAGCGTGCCGGTGAACTCCTCAACGCCACCAATATCGACCAAGGCTTTAGGATTTTGAGACCGTCTGAGAAGCTCTTATATTATAAAAACTGAAAAATGCAAACATGTGCAAACCAGCTATATCACTTGGGTTACCATGGCACGGCACCAGGCCCTTGTGTCTCCAGGATCTCCAGGCTTAAAGGCTGTGTCAATTTCAAACAAGCTGAATCCAAAATGACACAACACTACACTGCATGTCCAAACAACTCTACAGATTCTGCTGAGTAAACTCGACAGCATCCTTTCCACTACTACTCTTAGGATGCAATTATATACAACCTTTTATCATGTGCAATATTGCAAAATCAAAGCCTAAGCAATTGAGTTCGCGTTGGCACGGTCAAACTTGGCCATTCAGCACAGCTTTGTGAATCATCCGGATGTTCAGAAGAAGTCCAAGAGTGACGTAGATCAGGCAAACCTGGTGGATGTGTCTGGTTTTGTGAGTTTCGGCCCTAAGCTCTGAGGTCCAAGACCAAATCTTTTGAGATAATGTGTTACACATCCAACATGCTGTTCACGCTGCCGCTATATACTAGGAACAAATCCAAGATTATGAATATGCTGATTTTATGCTGATATGCTGAGCTCTTATATTCATTCGTCCCATCGCCTTGGAACTAACAGGCCCTGTGGCTCTTCATTTTCCCTTTTGAAGCCTTGGAACATCTCGGAACGCTCTCAGCTAGGCCGAGGCCCTGGCACCAATCATTCCAAAGACACCCAGCTGCTGGGCCAATGCACAAGTGGAATGTTTCAAATACTCTTCCCCTGTGGCCTCAGATGCAAGGTCGCAAGGTGCTTAGATATGGTGAGAAGGGTAGAGCTCATTAAAGAAGGCCAATGACTCAGCTGTAGCTTTAAGAAACAAAATGCACGGTTGGTTGCCGATAGACCGGTAACCGATGGCCAAACCGTGCACTTCACAAGAGCCTTGTGCTGGCTCAGGCATTCCGTTGGACATTGCTTGTGGGACGCTACACATTGACCGCTTGGTGCTTGGGGCTGCATTTCGTTTGGAAACCGTTTGTTGGGGAGTGCTCGTTGCATAAATGGCTTGGATAGGCTTGCTGGCTTGCTGAAAACCAGGGTTGGCGGCTCTGGACGGCAGCCCTTCAAACTGGCGACGACGCAAGGAAGCATATACCTACTATAGAGATGGTGGGCGCGTTGCATTTTTGATCGAAATCGTTCAACCTGCTGCAAGACAGTTTTGACAAGCTAAGTATGATGTTGTCTTGGTTGTTTTTCGAGGAATACCTGAAACATCACGAAACCGTGTTGTTCAACCCTCTTTAAATGGACCCTGGCTTGAATTTGATTTATTTGTGGGATGACAAGTATATTTTACAGCGTTGTGGCATTATGCGACGCGCGTGATCGCAACGTGCACGAGGCAACAAAGGTTGCAAATAGCGGCGGGGTTGCAGAAACCATCGCAATCGCAGTGGCATTGCGGTGTCTTTATGTGTTTTTGAATTGTATCTTCAACACCCGGTAAACAGCCAACAGTGGGGCTTTGTGCTCTGCGGCTTGCAAATACATTGTTTGACTGGAGTTTTCAATTTTTGGCCTCTGAGAGCCTCTGAGATCCCCCAAGAACTTTAGGGCATTGCTACTCCCTTGTGATGCTCGCTCAACAAACACACGGTCCTCAGGAGACGGTTTGAGTACTTTACCACAGGTTCGGGTGACACTCACGGTAGAGTTTGGTGGTCTTTCTGAACTTGCGCACTACCCAGCATCGCCAGTTCCGCCAAGCAATCAAATTTCTCTGAACAGGAACACTGCAACTTGATGTTAGAAGGCAACTCGAGACACCTGAAAAAAAGGGAATGTGATTAAAGGGTAAATGATCCACATCCTTGTGGCCTTCCTGTGAGTTATATTATATCTCTACATCACATAGTTGTTGACCATCTGCAAGGAGAGAAGCTCCCAAAATAAAGATGCCACCTCAGGCCCACGCATAGCAGTGACGCCTCGAGAAGGGTATGCTCGAGTCACAGTCTCCAAACTCCGCGCCCTGCACGAGCGAGTGGTCGCTTTTTCTGATTTTCTTAAAGGCCGCTCTTATTTAATCAAGCAGGCGCCTACTCTGTAAGGGAGTGAAACTTGCTCGCTCCTAGCTAGGACGCAGGATAGCTCACGCTTCCTTGAAGAAGTAATGATTTGATTCCTAGATTCTTAGGGAAACTTGGCCAAACCGTGTCGCTCGAAATGATACAGGGCCGATTCAAACTCACAGACCGAAGAACCGCGCGAACTACGCTTCTGAACGGGGACTTTCTCAAACTCACAGGGAATTGTAAAGGACTCCTACACAGGACCAATCATGTGCAGCCTTGCACCTGCACGTGTCTTATCATTTCTGACCGAAACGGACATTCGAGACATGCACTGTGGAGCCTAAGCCTGTCATTCCTGCCTGGTACAAGCTAGTCTCAAGGATGCTCATTCCCCACATGATCGGGGAAGCGTAGTAGAAGGGTCTGAGTGCCAAAGCAATCTAAACACAACTGTCAACAGGGTGCAATTCCATACAGAGTTGCTGACACAAGGAATTTCAATGACTCTGACTGGAGAAAAGTACTGCAACCACATCTGTCCTGCCTTATTACATCATTAAGGACAATACGCGTGATACTCAGGCAAACACTTCCAAACCAGTGGGATCTGGGCGTAAGGGATGACATATCCTGGCAAATGAGCTGGCCATTCCGAAAGGATTTTGACTTGATCAAGCAACTCTTCCCTGCCTGAGAAAAGTGTGGAAGGAATGATCAAAGGCATGAGCACCTCCAGTACAGTTTCTATGACTGTCAAAGTTGCTGTCACAAATCTCGTTTTCGTTGCATCCAACAATCCTGCACCACAGGTAACAGCGTCTGAGAACATCTAGGCTTCAAACAGACCTATTGCCATCTGCATCGCGAGTCTTGGCACCAACCTTGGCAAAGATACGATCACAGGAGATTTTATCATAGCCGACTCAATTATCCTGTTGGTTGAACCTCCTTGGAATTACGGGGTGACGGTAGGGACACAAGTTCGGAGAGCACCTGGATTTCTCTGCAAATTCAATATCGTAGCCGGCTGCCCCAAAAGGGGATGGTGCCAACCATGCATGCCTACAACATGCTTGGCTGGCCTGATGTAGCATTGGAGAGGACCAAGCATATCCTTCTATCTCTACAATGATCTACCTAAACAAAATAACCAGCAACGTTCAGCCTCGTGCCATGGCTGCTATGCTATGTCTTTGGCAAGGAGATCAAGAACACCGCAGTGTGCCCAGTGCTTCATCCTTTTCACCCACGTCAAAGTTTGCATCATACTCCTGGGGAGGGCGTTTCCATGGTAGTCTTGCCAAGTCTTGTCACAGCATCCTCCCACTGTCCAGTAAAAAAGTAAGAAAGGGCTGCAGAACTGTGTCAGAAGAATGGAGCAGGCTTGGGAGTCTGTGGTTCACGATTCCTTGTCACTCAGGGCCTGTAATTATTCGTGCTTGCTGGCTGGTTGAGACACACGCAACATTGTCTTTATTGCAGCACCAAAAACTCTCACGATTGTCTGTGCCTGGGCCATCTGAAGATGGCTGGCACAACGGACTCCACGGTCCACATGACCAATCTTCCCATGGACCGGGTCTGTTGAGTGTCTGACTGCAGAGCCAGCTGCGCAAGCCAGCAGCAAAACCTAAATGCAAGCAGTTTGCAATGGAGAGTCCTCTGACCCGTCCAGTCAAAGAAATCCTTTGACAACACCGCCCACAGTGAAGGCGCCAAGGTGCTTCATTTATATAACTGGTTAGCACATGACAAAACTGACCAAAACTGTGGGTGTCTACAACAAGTCTGCGAGTATCCAATCCAAACGGATCTAAAGATAGTCACTTGGCTTCCTGCATGGGTATATTTGTGCATGTGTTTTCATGAATTGGTGATTGGTTATGGCCGTTGGCAGTTCCAGCAAATCTCTCAAATGACTGGTATCTGTACTAGAAAAATGTGAACCAATCAGGTGAATTCGTCTCGGAATGGCACAGCACAGGTGTACCTTGTCTGCCGAGATTTTGATTCAAGGTCTTTCAGCTTTCACTTCTGCAATAGAGCGGCATTGCAACGTGTTCCTGTCAAGGAGTAATACCGACTCGACAGCCGAGATGCCAAAAATGAAGTCAGCACAAAAACCTCAGCAGTCTGTGCTTGTGTGGGCAAAGGTTGAAACAAGCAAGCAAGTTGCAAAACATGAAGTACATGCACCCCTGTGCGAAAGCCTGAGTGGACTTGCAAATCACCCAGAGCACCTTCTTTCTCAATTCAATTCAAATCGAATGCATAATTGGGGAGGCAGCCAACAATGCTTCCAAGACACGAAGAAGCGGTAAAAATCCAATGGGAACCCCACCAACCTCAGTGTTCAAGCGACGTCGGACTGCTCAGCAAAATAACCCTGTATACACTGTATACAGTATACTGTAGAATGTGTGTGCATGTGTATATATATATATGTGCCAATCCTGTTTGAAGCATGTCAAAGGATTACACAAAACTTGGTTCCTCAGGGTATGAACTGCCGATGAACAGCACAAGCGAGATGAGACCAAAGTTCAAAACACCTTCCTGTGTTTCACAAAACTTCAGGGCAAAAAAACTTTTATGCTTCTATCGGTTTTCATAAGACACGGCGGGTCAACGACGGATGGTCCAATTCAGGCGGCAAATGTGAGCCCGTCAGTTATCACACCTCATTCAATTTGCCTCACTAAATTCTTCCCAGTGCGAACGCCAAACACGAACATCAGACCCCTCATCATGTAGGATTCTAGGCGACAGGGCTGTACTCATTCAGCACAGGGAGGCACAACTAATGTCTGCCCAGTGCCTGAATGCCCCTGTAGCTGAGGCACAAATAGAGCGGAGTCGCCCACGCCTGAGCTACACAAGCGTGAACTGCCGCAAGTGGAACGGTTTTGATCAACATTATACTGGTTACCAGTTACTAGGGTACGAGTGGTGGACTCTTCTTTTTGTTGTTGCTGCCATCGAAAAGCTCTGGGGCGAGCTCTTCAGAATCCTTGAGGTGATTCTTTGTTTGCCCTGCACTGTTCCTGCATGCTCCTTTTCCTGTACCTTTACCACTTCAAGCTGCGACAAATGCAACATGGTGAATGCATTCGACTGCAAGGTTACCATGCGCGTTTTCGAGAGGTTCAACAAGGTGAAAGTGCAAGTAGAAGGTGGCATGTCACCACTTGTCACCATTTGTCACCGTGTGTCACCTTCACCTGCTTCCACTTTCTTCCTTGTCGGGTCAAGGTGCCAAGGTCCATGGGACCTGCATGGCCAGGAAGCCGATGTAGTATGACCTAGGTGCATGTGGCAACCCCACATCCTTTTTTGTGCTCACTTTTCTACACATCTTTGTGCTCTTGATGAATGCTTGAACCCCACATCCTTGCAGGCATCCCCGTGTTGCTCTGTTGCTCTCAGGCTGGCTGACAGTGACCACCTGTGCTTGCAAATCTTAGCAGGACACTCTTCTATCTCTCAACAAAGACTCTGCTCGTTTGGCCCTTGAGTTGACGACAAATAATAAGGCAGAACCTGCTGTGGAAACTGTCAAAGTTTCGTGGCTGCAAACATGGTACTTCAGTTGTAAACTTGGGGACAAAGAAATGGTTGAAGAAACCTGGCTGTGAAAAGGCATGCTTGTGGGAGTACAGTATATAAGTTGCAAGGGGATGATCGCAATTGGTACAGTAATGATCTACACAGGCCGTAGAAAAGTGGCATTAATATTCCACCTTGTTCTTGGAGCACCCTTTGATGTGCTATTGTGGAGAAAAACGATGAAACACGGAACATCTGCATCATGTCCTGAAACTCAAACAGGTTCGGTCCACACCGCTATGCAAATTTTGTATCGATGGTCAAGCCACCCATCCGTCATGCAGGCCTAGCGGAGATTATCTCTCCCAAACTCGCAATCACCATGTCGTTTTTGTAGCAAAGGCCTGATAAACGCCATCATAGTATTCGCCTGGGCACTCAAATCAATCATGGATCAAGCATCTCTTGGCTCGACTTCAAAAAAACAAGCTCAAAGGACAGCAGCAGCAGCAGCAGTAGTCGTAGTGGTAGTGGTAGTGGTAGTGGTCGTGGTAGTGGTCGTGGTAGTGGTAGTCGTAGTAGTAGTAGTAGTAGTAGTAGTAGTAGTAGGAGTAGTAGGAGTAGGAGCAGCACTAGCAGCAGCAGTAGGCGTAGGAGAATGAGTAGGAGTAGGAGTAGGAGAAGGAGAAGAAGAAGGAGAATAAGTAGTATATAAAAATAACAGTTGTTGTTGTCATTGTTGTTGATGTTGTTACTAATGCTGCTGCTGTTGCTGTTGTAAAAAATCAGTTATTGTTGATCTATAAGGGTTTCAAAAAAAAACAACAACCCTGAATTAACCAAACAGGATTTGAACCCTGTGGCCCTTTGCTTCTTTGATGGTACTAAGTGACTAATACAGTTCGTCCTGTAGCATCTGTTCCCAAACCCTGGATGCAAGCAGAACGCTATCTGTATCTGCTGATTGAGTCCTTGGAATGGTGTAGGTTTTAGATTACAGTTTAGATAATTGCCCGAAACATTTGCCGCCAGCCAGAACAAACCTTGCATTGAATGAAGCCAATGTCGATGGACACCTGCACCACCCAAAATGCGATACAAACATTCACATTTCGTGCAAAACCTGGATCACCAACTGTGTGATCACGTTGCTGGATCGATGAGCTTTTAGCACAGCACACAGCAAGCTGGAAAACCCACTGCCCACCAAAAACACTACAGTAACTACAGCAGCCTTTGCCAGCATGCCTAAACTTATTAGCAAGCTAAACACCTGATCATTCGCTGCTGAGGAAAACACATGATGTAACATGATGTCACTACATGGAGCTCAACGGTAATCAATGCAATGACTACTGTGTGAATCCTCAACAACTATTGATCGATCCAAGAAGGTGCAAGAAGCGCAATCAAACCGAGTTGCGTTTTAAGAGACCCTTGGTTTGCTGAAAGGTGGCAGCTCCTGATCGGGACGGCCAACGGTGAACGCCATGATGAGGCGGTCTGGAATGTTACTATAACTTCCAGGAGCCCCTTTCGTAGCGTCCTTGCTCCTAGTAGCGATGCCAGGAGCCCCTAGTAGCTTCTTGTTCCTAGTGGGAACACATTCAGACTAAAAATATACTGAGAGCTAGTCTGCCTCACATGACGTTGTTGGGCCATTTGGCTGACAAGTGTACAGCCATGCAAGGACAGTTTGCAGCTGCAGCTTGCAGTTAAAGAACAGCACTTTTTGCGTGCCAACATAAACAAACACACACACACACACAACACCTTACACACCCTTCAACTGTCGTCTCCTGCATAAAAGGATTCGATCAGCGGGTTTTGCCTCAATATAGATCCAATCCCACAAACAACGCGTGCCCATCCAATCAACTCCAGGGTCAGAACCAGAGCCCCGAATCTCTTTTCTAAAAGCTGGCAGGGATGCAGCGCCGTCAGAATTCGGGAAGTCTAAAGTCTAAAGAGTCATACCATGGGGCCGCCTTTGGTACAAGACTGGCCTTCACCTTCGGCGCAATGCTTCAGAAACAAGGATTGCAAGTCTCATTGCAAACACAATGTAGACACCTTTCAGAAACGTTCACGAATCAAAGCTAGGTGTGTGACAGTGCAAATCCTTATGTGAATATGTTTGTGAAACTATCTTGTCTCAAACAGGGTTACGAACGAGCTACACTTGTACCCTCGTGGCCGCTTCATAGAAACAAAATCATGACTCATGCACTGCAACACTTTGCAGACACAAACATATGAGATCGTTGTAAATATATATATATATATACAAATACAGTATACATAATTCATAATCAACAATTACGTACATAGTGGACCTGCACTCGCTCTCCAGAACAAAGAATTGCACGTTGGTAATATTGGGATTTCCGTAGACCTCTGGTACGAGGAGAAGCTTTTTTTTTTGGTGGTGCTAGCAGGGACAGAAGACCCAAGCAACAATTGAGAAAATCGGATTCTCGAGAAACCTGCAATTCAAACAGCAAGGTAACCTTTCTCACCTGTGGCGGAGACGGAGAGATACGTTTTCATTGTGGGTAAAGTGTGAGCCTCCAACCCAAGAGCGATGGCCTCCAACCTAGAGGAGATGGCCTCCCACCTAATAGCGATGGGCTCCAACCTAGAAGCGATGAAGCAATGGCCTCCAACCTAGAAGAGATGGCCTCCAACCTAATAGCGATGGTCTCCAACCTAGAAGCGACGAAGCAATGGCCTCCAACCCAAGAGCGAGGGCCTCCTAACTAGAAGCGACGGCCTCCAACCACAGAGCGATGGCCTCCAACCTATGAGTACGAGCGATGGCCTCCAACACAAAAGCGATGGCCTCCAGCCCAAGAGCGAGGGCCTCCTACCTAGAAGCGATGGCCTCAAACCTCAGAGCGATGGCCTCCAACCTGAGAGCGATGGCCTCCAACCCAATAGCGATGGTCTCCAAGCTAAGAGCGATGGCCTCCCACCTAGACGCGATGGCCTCCGACCTAGACGCATGTCTCCAACCCAAGAGCAATGGCCTCCAACCTAGAAGCGATGGCCTCCAACCTGAGAGCGATGGGCTCCAACCTAGAAGCGATGGCCTCCAACCTATACGCGATGGCC